GCCTGCCACAGCACCTCCCGGCACTTTGGGGAAGACACACCTGATCCATCAGGGATGTGCAGGAAGGGGAGAGGGGGCTCAGGTTTCCGTTCCCAGGTGGTTTGGCTTTCCAGCTCTCAACCCTTCCCACCTGGGGCAGGGGAGAGGAGGGTCCCTAACCTTCAGGGACTTCAGATCGGTGGCTGGATTCCTCTAGCATGCTACATCCTGGCGCTCCCTTTTTGCGTCTTTCAGAGATGAAGTTTGCCAGCACATGCAGGGGGTCCAAATTATCCAAGGGTGGGGAAGGGAAGGGAAGGAAGGGTAGAAGGAGTGCAGAAGGAAAGAGAAAAGGGCAACCAAGGCAGGTTAGACACGCCATGCTCCTTCCCCACCCTGGGCAGGCGGGATGCAAACCGAAGTGACCAGATCCACTTTCCAGAGAGTATATTTTGCTTTGTGAATACCTCGGATCATCCCTTCCCTGCCCATTCCTTTTCACCCAGCTTCTCATGTCTCTTCCCTGCCTTCAAGCCTCCCTTTTTCCCCTGGAAAATGTGATCGTGGATGTATGCTTGTGTGAACAATCACGTGAGAGCTGGAGAGGGGTGGAAGCGTGTTTGGAAGTGCGCAGGAATCCCCCTGTGCTAGCCCTGAACACTGCTGAAAGGGCTGCTGACAACAACCCATGGCCAAGAAAAGCTTCCATTTGCTCCAGACCCAGTCACCCGTCTCCCCATAGCTCCAGTTCTTGTCCTACAAGCTGCTGCTCTCAGCAAAGCCATGCAGCTCCCACCCCACATCCTTCAGGGCTTCCTGTGCTCCTGCTCCATGCCTATGCAGCTGGTGCCATGAGCTGACTGCTGGTCACCACCCCAGGTGGGAAAACTCAGAGACACCTTTGGAAGGCACCTGGCTTTGCCTTACACAAGCCCATGCTGATGTACCTGGCTCCTCATGCTTGGCAGAGCTGCTCCTATGGAATATGTCCTTGCTGCCTACCTACTTCCCACGTCCCTGAGCTTCTACACTGGCTGAGATGGGGATGGTTCCAAGCTCGAGGGATGAGCTCGGTTCTGCGAGCTCCTAAGGACATCTCACTCTCCTAACTGTGCTACAGGGTTGCTCCTCACCTCATCTTCTCCAACCCTCTCACTTCCACACTACTGCTGACCCTGACCCTCCTTTTCCACTGAGTCTTCACCCTGGAGCTCTGAGTGACCACAGCAGTGTCACATGGAGACCAGCCAACATGGACAGGACTCTTCTAAGTACATCAGGCTCCCTGGGATTGAGCTAAACACATTGGACACCCCAACACCTTCCCAGCTCCCCCAGTCCCACCTCCCACAGGTCCCTCGAGCCCCGGCTCCTGCTGGACTCTAACCCCCATAGAAGGAAGGGTTGATCTACCTTATAGGCCACTTTGGAAGGACATCTCTTGCCGAGGCCTAGCGGTGGTGACATAAGAGTCAGCATTTCATACATCTCAGTGTAATGGATTCGGCCACTGCTCATGGAGGGGGAAAGGGAGGGGGAGGGAGATGCAGAGAGAGGAGGCATTCCCAGAGAGCAGAAAAACATACAAACAAAAAATAGTACAGGAAAACAGGAGAGAAAAAACAAACGGACAAACAGGAAAAGAACAGGAAACCCGTTAATCAAGGCAAATCATACACGAGAGACTGTCCTGATGTGGATTTATAGCACTGCTCACACAGACCCAGGAATGCTGGCAGAAAGCAACTCACCCCTCTCCTCTGCTGCTGGCCTCAAGCGCCTGTCTCGCTACCAGTCTGGGACTGCTCCTCTGGTCTCAACCCCTTTCCTAAACCCTCCAGCAGCCCCCACACCTTGTCCCACAGGTTCCAGGGCTGTGTGCGAGTGGTATAAATCAGATACACGGCACTCGAGCCATGGGTTATTTGAGATAATGGTGGTTTGCACCACAGTGCTCTGTGGCCTCCATAGCGTCTTCCCTCCCGGGGGGGACCTGAGTATTGCTTTGCATTGCCACCTAACCCATAGCCGGAAGGCTGTGTATCCCCAGCTCGTGGGGTCTATGCAATTGGGAGGCAGCATCTTGCATAGAAGGCAGTGGGCCAGGGTCACTTGTCAAAGGAAGATGCCCAGTTGCTTCCGTCTGGCTCTGCGGATGGACCACTTTCCCACCATGCACCAGTGCAAAAGGCATGCTGAATCGGCTGAAAAAACAAAACCGGGAGGAAAAGTTGTACATGCCATGCTCCCGCCCTGGCTCTCTCCCACATGCGGCTGCAAGTTCCACCAGGTTGGAGTTTAAAGAGTCTCAGCAGAGGCAGCTGTTTAGGCCTTCCAACATTGGGGTTCATTTGGGTTTCCCAAGGGAGGCAGCTAGGGCTGATCCCCACCTCGCGCTCCTCTGCTCCGTAAGGACCTGCCTAGGATTGCTGCAGTGAGGAACACTACTAAAAATGGGCCACCCAGTGATGCCCTCTGCCAGGCTGAGATATTTGGGCTGTCTCTCCCTCTCTCTGCACATCCACATCTCCTAGGGATCCTGGGCTCAGCCACCTCTTCTTCCCCTCGTGCCAGGCTTCTGTCCTGCTCTGCGAGGTTCAGAATGGTTAGTGGGCAAGGGCAAACTCATGACAATGAAGGCATCAATGCTTACAGCTGGGCTAGGAGGATGCTGCTGGAGAGAGACCCATCTCAGTCAGAATGTCCTAGGAGAGACTGCTGAAAAATTAAGCATCTCCACAGAATCTTGGCCTCTTTCCTAGAATATGCTCAGAGCAGTGAGGAAAGGGGAGAAGATATCTCCTCTTCACAGGGGGTCCCCATGGTTTGGAAGCAGATCCCTGTTCAAATTGCCCCCACCAAGATAAGTTCTCACAGTAAAGATGTGAACTAGAGATGCTGATGGCTCTCAACAGGAACTCTTTGGGGTGCAGGCACAGAAACAGGCTGGGCCATCCCCTTTGAGAGCTGACTCACCTAAATGGGTAGGAAAGAGGATTGATAACAACACTGGAAAACATTAAGCAGGATGATCAAGAGGAAGCATCTGGGTCCAGGAGTCCATAAGCAGCGCCTTGGCAGAGCTGGATGTGCACTGACTAAGGTGCCTGAAGCAGAGATGACTTTGAAATTTTCATGCATGATTTTAGTGCTAAAAGGAAGTAAGACAGTGATCTTCCACCCACCATTCCTGGCAGGGGGAATTTTAGGGTACCCAGCACACAGCAGTCACTGTCATTCATAGTGAAATTCTCCACACAATGAAGGAAGAATGAATTCCCAGGAAAGGAACAGTTTGCATCAGTGACCAAGGACTGCACAAGAGCTGTGGTGCTCTCTCAGATGGGCTGCACACTTTGCTGTTCTTCAGAGCAGAGATCTTAAAGCTTTCTGAGCAGCACATCCATGCCCAGAAAACACTTCCCCCTGAGACTGAAGCACAGGCATGCATGTGGAACAGCATCCATCTGAACAGAATGGCTCCTGAGAGCTGGTCCAAGCACAAGCACATCCCTGATGAGAGGGCTGACCCATCTACCCGTGTCTGAAAGCTGTGACCCATGGCTGCAGCACAAGGTGGCCTGAAAACCACCAGGGACTAATGGCTCAGTCCTGGTACTCTGAGAACACCCTATGAGTGACAGAGAAGGAAATCTGGGGGACATCTGTCCTCCTGTGGTTAGGAAGTAAGTCACATCAGGCTGCTAGGAAGAGAACACCAGAACAGGAAGTGATGTGAGAGTAGATGCAGGAATAGGTGATGTCCACAGGGACATTACCTGTGGAGCATTCACCTGACAGGCAGAGCAGGCTCACTGAACTGAAAAGTGTGCAAGCTGGGTTGGCATTTTGGGATCTATACCATGTTGGCAAGATAGAAAACCCATGTGGTTGTTGTTTCTTCATCAGTTGTCTTTTGGAAACTGTTCCAGGGCAGTAGGAATCCCTGAAAATCTCATGTCCTTGAAATACCTCATGCTCAGGGAGGAGGAGACCCAGGTAACAAGGAAGAGATGGGGATGGTCTCCCTCACATGACAACAGTTCTGAAGTCATGAAGCTGTTCTCAGTAGTCTTTGCTTCCACCTCCACTTGAGTTTATCCACCTTCAGTGCTCTGTCCATCCCACAGAGTCAGCAGAAATCCCAGATTGCTCCAGAGCTCCCTCTTCCCAGGAAGAATTACAGGTACCCTTCTGAGCACTAGGTGATCTAGCTTAGAAGAGCAGCATCTGCCAGTGGAGCCCTGTCGACAATCAAGAAAGACTAACAACTCCTTCTGAAGGCATCTTTGGTCTGCAGGAACCTGAGCAAGTGTCCTCAGCAAAGCTGCCATCCTTTGCCTGGGATGCAACAGAGAAGAGTGGCAAGACTTCAAGGAGTCCCTTTCAGAATGGATGAGCCATCTGAGACTTGTGCAAGAAATCTCCTGCTCCTAAATACCTCTTCCTCACGACCAAGCATCCAGGCCTTGTCATGCTTGCCTTGCTGTGCCTCCAGTGGTGCATCATCCCCACATCCAGCTGTGCAGCATGACAGACCTGTTCCAGGGATGTTGGCTGGAAGAATTCTTTCTGATGTTTCAAGAAGGATGTGGTGACTACACTGTGTTACACCAAGGAACCCTTTTCCTCTGCAAAGCCAAGATCAAAGGCTGGAGGCATCTGAGCTTCCCCTGTGCATCTCCTCAGCTGCCGTGAGAGATGCAGAGGGAAGAACAAGCTCTGTGATTCATTCTTTCATGCCACAGTCACAGACACAGGCGTCATGGCACTTTGGAGAAGGTGGCAGGTGAAGGATTTTGTTCAACTGCCACTCCAAAATAAATTTTTTTTAAAAGTGCAAGTCAGAGAGACACGAGGAGACGAAATCACTGCTGTGGAGTTGTGGCCTGCTGCTGGGAGCTTGGCTCAAGCTGAGGGAGAGGAACTGCTGAGCTCCAGAGATGTGCCCTAGTGTCACCACCTCCCAGACAGATCCAGCAAGCTATGGGCAAGTGTAGCAAGAGTCCTGCTCCCCAGAGACATAGTTGTTTGTCCTCCAAGTGCCACACTTGAGCAAGGGTCTGTTGGGTACAGCACAACATCCCTCAGGGACAAGGGTCACCCTGGCCTCCCCATCCTCCCCCCAGCCCTCACTCTCCAAAACAACGGCAACAAAGTCCCAAACATTCTCCTGCCTTTGAGCCCCTCCTCCCTTCCCAGGAGCAAACCACATCTAAGCCCCCCAGAAAACTCCTTCTCCCATGTGAGGTACTTTGACAAGCTGAGCAGGGACTGTGGCATTTGGCCTGGCACTCTCTGGGGCTCTCTGTGCCAGTGGAACAGGGGTGGGGGGCTGACTGGGGGAGGCAATTTGTCAAAACCCACCCCGGGAGGCTCTGAGCTCCCCCTGGCCCCACTCATGCCTCCCCTCGAGGGGAACAGCTGCTGGCTCTGGGAGGCAGCAGACCTCTTTAAACTCGAAGGAAAGCAACATCAGGGTTCCCTGGGGAGGCGCGGTGGCGGTGGAGCAGGGGGGGAGGAGGGGTGGATGGTGCGTCCCGTGGCCAGGTTGTGGCGGAGGACTGGGAGGCAAACCTTGCACGCCACCCTGTAGGGGCAGTTCTCTCCTAGGCCCAGAGGAGGCAAGATCACCCGTACTAATTTGTACATATCCTTATACGAGATCCTGCCGCTGCAAAGGAAGCACAGGTGGGTTAATAGGACACTGAGAGGGTGGAGGGGAGGATGGAGAGCTTAACAGGGGGATGCTGGGTCTATCTGTGGGGCAAGACCCCCAGGGGTGCACAGCTCTTCTCCTTCTGGCTCTATCAGACCCAGACAGGGGAAAGCTGTAAGCATCAGCTACTTCCTTCTCCACTATGAGAGTAGGCTCATATCTCCTCACACTGTCCCATCTTCAGCATGAAGAAGGACAATTTTGGTGGTGAACACTACCCCATCACCCTTCCTCATCATACCCCTGACCCCTACACCGGGTGGGAGAGGGCTGGGATTTTAGACAGGGTAAGCCTGCAGCTTGGTTGGGTTCTAGCCACCACGAGCCCTTTTGATGGAGTTGAGTCCCATCGCATCGCCAGAGACCCTGCCCTGGCACAAACACCTCTCTAGGCCTCACAAGGTCCCAGGAAGGTTGGCAGCTGAGTCACTTGTGTCTCCAGTATCTGGGGAACCTGAGATGAGGAGAGATAATGTGACCAGCTGGTGGCTGTGGCACTAGCACTTGGGTGTCTCGCAGTCCAGTCCTGTGCTCCAACCACCAGACCACGCTCTGCCAAGGGTACACATTATTAGAAGCAAACCTTCCCATACACACAGCCCTTCTCACCCACAGAAGCACATCTCCCCAGACCCGGGTGCAGTCATCCAGGATACAGCCTGTATCCTCCTGCACTGCTGAAATAACGAAGCAGTCAAGGTGGAGAGCTGGTAGGAGAGGGTGCAGGGACCGGTGGATGCTGAGCTCCCTGCTCTGCTCCAGACCAGAGCCCTTTGGGAAGCAGGACCATGTGGGGTGGAAGTGCTGAGGTGCAGCATTCTGCAGCCTCCTGGGCATCCTTAGACAAGCTTGGAGGGAAACCACGCAAGGAGGCAAAGAACAGCATTACCATCCTACCCAGCACCTTTGCCTCTGGTTTCTCCTTGCTCTTCTCCCATCCCTTCTCCATCGCTGGCCAGAGATAGAGAACCCAACCAGAACCCAACCATCTGGACAAAACCCATCCCTGATCCCTCCTAGTGTTGGGTGTTCTCCCCATGAGACCTTCATATGACAGTCTTGGTGTCAAGATGCAGAACTCCAGCCCCACTTAGGCCGTGAGGACCCATTTGGATATACTCACCCGTTCCTCACCCAGGACCAAGGGCCAGGGCTGCCCCAACAGGCCCCAAACCACTGTCTCCTGTGCATGTCCCCTAACCACTGTCTGCATACCATGACAAAAAAGCATGGCTTGCACAGAAATCAGAGGGCCACATGGCATAGGACAGCTCAGGCATGCTTTTACAGTGACTGTCCTGGAGACTGAGGTCACCAACATGGGGGTGAGACTGAATAAAGTGCCTGGTGTGAAGAAACCCTTCCCAAGAGCCATGGGTGAGACACCCCACACCCAGCAGCTGTGTTTCTCTGCTCTCACCTCCTCTCCTTTCTTTACTTGGACATGATGACATTAGGCACAAAAAAAATCTTGGCCGGGGCTGGTCTCTTGAGAGGCAGGACATAAGTAGTGGAGCCAAAGAGTCTCCAAAGGGGCCACATGCAGCTGCCAAGGGCTCTTGAGCTAAGATGCACCATGCTCCCTGGCAGCAGTAGTAGGTCATGGCTCCAAAGAGGTTATCACTGGGCTGCAGGAGGGAGGGAGGAAGGGACCACACAAGGCACCTTTGTGGTGCTCAGGCTGAGTGAAGGGCAAACATGCTCCCAGAGCTGCCAAGGCTCCCCATTGCACTAGGGATGCCTAAGACCATCCTAGAAGGAAGAGCAGAGGAGAGCCAGTCCTCTGCAGCAGCAGCAGCAAAAGCAGGACCAAAGTCTGGGGTACATATAACTGCTGTGAGCCTGTCCCATTGCTGGGAACAGGCTGCTTCCTGCAAACAGGAGCCCTCTTGGCTGGGGTCCTCATCAGCAAGGGCATGAATGTAGAAAACAAAATCCTCTTGTCTCTAGAGGAGTGAGGGGGCTGGCCAGCATAGGAACACAGTTCCCCAAACACACTCTAAACAAAGTCCTCTGCAGGTGACTTGGTAGGAGCCCAGCAGACCCCCAAGATCTGGCTGGGAAAAAACCCCGCTCAACCCCACTCTGATGGGGAGCTGTGGGTGTTGAGGACCAGGTGATGGAGCTGGTCTCAGGGCAGAGGTACCCAGCTGGTGTACAGGGACAGGGAAGGAGGTCAAGAGGGACCTGCTCTATGGCTATGCGAGAGAGGAAGAGCAGGAACCTCCAGCACTCAGGATAAGCACCGTGGCAAACCATGACCATCACCCCCAAGACACCTGTGCCATCAAGTAGGAATTGGCTATTGCCCTTGTAATGACAGCAGGTGAGAGCAGCCCATCCCTGACCATCCCAGGCATCGCAGCTGGTTCCAGTAGTAGAATATAGAGATGCTCATTTAAAACCAGCTCTGAGAGGCTGCACAGGAGAGAAGGAGCTGACTACATACCACGCTGCTCTGTCATACTCTGCCCAGATCCGCACAAACTCATCTAGATGGTGAGGTCCCAGGATGGAGGAATCCCGTGTCAGGTATTCAAAATTGTCCATGATGACTGCCACAAACAGGTTGAGCATCTAAATGAAAGGGAAAAAAGGCAGAGAGAAAGGAAAGTGGGGGGA